TGTTATTCAGTGGTTGTCGTTTGTTGGTGTGGTTCATAGGTGTTTCTCGTTTCTCGTTTTTTATATAGATTAGACCGTTGGTTTTCCTATTTGAATTGTTTTACACTAGTAATATTGGGGCCCTTTATAGCTTGCTGTTCGGTGTGAGGCAAGGCTCCGTGTTGAAGGCCGTACCGTTTGACTTATGATTGTTTACTTTTTATACATTGTGACTTGAACTCATTGGCACTCATACCACATCTTCTTATTTATATAACGGCTGGAAAACAAAGTGCATTGAAAAATATTCCAAATAGTTGAGCTGAAGTATGACTAAGTTCATCTGATCCTGGGAGTAAAAAAAACCTAAGTGGTTTGAATGAATTAACATTTTATTAGCAGTGCTTCAACATGTTCAATTTACAGAATATGGTCACATCAATGATATATCATGTCAGCACAAGAGTACTGACTACTAGTCTGGTGAGACCCTAGGGAACGAAACGTCCACCATAGTGGCATATAGACCCAGTGTTGTAAAAACTCATAACTGAGATACCAGGCTTTAATAAAATTCAGTGCGCCTTGTGTTGTGACTACATAAGACCAATTAGTGACGCTAGAATCTTAACTAATGACTAGTAAGCAATGTTCAACATACGAAATATCATTTCAGGCGTCGGAAAATGAAAAGAAGTTCTTTCAAAAGGTTGTTAGATCTGGAATATTATGGATTTCTTGTGTAAAAAATATTACTTATTTCAAGGATTTCTATTAGTATAAAGGATTAAGATACTTGCTTATCTACATGTACATATACAATATTGTGTTCTCATTCTGATCACATGTGTTACAGTTGCATATATCATGTATTTAGTATGTGTCTGAGTGAGAGAACAGATTCATTTCTAACTTTTTATCTTAAATGTTCACATATATTTATACTTATAATAAAGAAATGTTTGGAATTCAGACGAGTTCTATACATGTTTTCCTGCGACAATAACAATAAAGGCGATGTGTATATACTGACGCCAACCACATCCCTAACCCTGGTCTTTTTCTCATCATTTAAACGTTCTGAAGCGATGAAGATAAAAGAAAGCAATCGATTAACACTACAAGGGAAAAACTGTATGATGTTATGTATATCCACACCTTGCATAGTTTTCTTCGAAAAAGTATACAGACCATAGGAACTATTTTGTTTTAAATATGTACCTCTTTCCACTATGTTCTTTTTTGACCGGACCCGATTTTGGTGATGTTACATCTTACAAAGTCTATCCGAATCATTTTTCAAAGAATTCCGCTCAAACCGGTGCTAGGGGCCGTCCTAAACTTGCAGTGAGGTGAAAGTTTTTTTGCTCCGTGTTGAAGGTCTCATTGTGACTTTAAGATGAAGAACAGCAATAAAAGCGCTGTTTCTTTGCTTTTTGTGTTTTTTTTTTGCTGTGCATGTGCTGACTTTGTGCCATTGATGGATACCCCATATCCTTTATTTTTCTGTTTTTCTATCATACGAGTATTTTATTCTGTTGAATTAAAATAAAATCATAGAAATAAAACCAAATAAATTCCATTACAAAACTGTTCTAATTTTCAACAAATTCTTTTATTAGAATAATTATGTTTATTGCACTTATTAAGTAATAAGAATACTACATATAGCATTACCGACAGTTTTCTGATTAAACCTTAAAGGTAAACTACTGAAATTTTTCTTGTATATATATGCCGACATTATACAAATTAACTTACTTACTATTATCGAATATTCCGGTTCCATTTGATCCTCCTGGCGACCCTCCAGTACCCATAAGTTGGGTTGATGACGACACAAAACATAGCACAACAATCACATACGGAATTACCATTTTCCTGAGGTTTGAAAAAAGGGTTAAGGATAACTGTAAATTCAGATATTTTTGCGAAAACTGCGACGAGATAGGTGTCGCAAAAAATAAAACTTGCATTTTAAATATTGGTAGCATTAATGTATGTAGAATTTCCGGACGTTGCAATAATTTAACACGCACTGGTGTCGATTATTCAACAATCGCAATACTTTCACTCGCATTGGTGTCGATTATTCAACAATCGCAATAATTTCACTCGCATTGGTATCGATTATTCAACAATCGGAAAAATTTAACTCTCATTGGTGTCGATTATTCAACAATCGCAAAAATTTAACTCTCATTGGTGTCGAATATTCAACAATCGCAAAAATTTAACTCTCATTGGTGTCGATTATTCAACAATCGCAATAATTTCACTAGCATTGGTATCGATTATTCAACAATCGCAAAAATTTAACTCTCATTGGTGTCGAATATTCAACAATCGCAATAACAAATGCACGCATCAATTTATGAATTTACAGTGATGTAAAAGTGTTGAACGTGTGAACATTTGAAGTTTGAACATATTCTGAGCATCATACAAAATGTGCATCGGTCAACACTTTTACACCCTAATAAAATTACAAAAGGAAGCATTCCATTCCTAAATTATAGGAGATATGAG